TTCAATGGTCAGATGCTTGTCAGGAAGCATTCGAAAACATTAAAAATATACTTGCTAATGCTCCTGTTCTCATTGCACCAGACTTTAATAAACAGTTTAAATTAGCTGTAGATGCCAGTGATGTTGGCATTGGTGCAGTTCTTTTTCAAGAAGATGACCACAATGTAGATCATCCTGTCTCTTATTTCTCAAAGAAATTCAACTCACATCAGAAAAACTATTCCACTGTAGAAAAGGAATGTTTAGGTTTAATTCTTGCTCTCCAACAATTTGATTTTTATGTCAGTTGTTCTTTACATTCAGTACTTGTTTTTACTGATCACAATCCTTTAACATTTTTGAATAAGATGGTCTCCAAAAATCAAAGATTGTTAAGATGGAGCCTATTTTTACAAGAATATAATTTGGACATCAAACACATCAAAGGCAAAGATAATGTCATTGCAGATACTTTGTCCAGAAATTAATTTTCACTTATGTTATTGTTTATAAGCTGTTAAGAAGCTTTTTGTCTAATATTTTGAGAGTAAGAAATGTACTTTCTTCAATTTTAATGGAAAAAGAATTCCATTTTTGAACAATGAATTTTTTTTCTTTTAAGAGGGGAGGTGTTATAGAGAGCTTGTTTACATAATATTTCTCGTGCGTGCCCTCTGATTGACCCCGCATGAGACGCTGTGTTCACAAAGGGGTGTGGCTTAGGCCTTTGAAGTAACTTGTTTACGCCGCCAACGAATAAAAATAATTAATCTGTTCCAAATAGTATTTGGTAGAATGATTGGGATTTTTCTCGAAATGTCTCGAAGGCAGGGCTTGGGCGTCGGTAGACCCACCTATATAAGGGATTGACAGGCACGGACGAGGGACGGAGATTTCCGATAGATTTTCTTAACATTACGAGGCGTGTTTTATTCTTTGTGTATTTGTGTGCTCCTACTTATATGTGTTTATTTCGTATTATTTATTGGCATCATTCTTTCTAATTGTATTAACTGTGTACCGGTACGACATCTGCCATACTGTAAGTTGAAGATTGTAATTTTATTTTATTTTATTTTGTAATTATCTTAAGAGATAATAAATCTTAATTAATTGTAACTAGTAACTGTTTTGGGTCGTATCTTTAATATTGTTGATTATATGGTATCGTCCTTTGTTAGGCACTGTTTACAACGAGCCAATTAAAATTAAAATAGGAGATTACTTTCTCCCAATACAAGTCAGTGCGTAACAATAAAGTTTATTTGAAAAACACGCTTCATCCCCAAAACCTCGAAGTGCGATACAAAGTCAACCATATTTAAAAGAGAAATGAAGACAATCTATAATTGACCACATTTAAAAGCAAACACAACATTATAAAAACTAAATACGAACAAACCAAGTCAAATTCTTTCATCCCTTTCAACCATAAACAAAACAAGCCAATATACATTAACTGGAAACAAATTGTAGGCAACATCACCCCAGAAGATGTTTGCGAAATAGATGTGTTTTTAAATCGGTTTAAATTAAAAGCCTATTCTGTGAGAAGCGGGTTTGCTATAAATAGAACAAGTACCGCGACCTCTCTCTTTTGTCTGCAAGCCTCACACTGTGTCAAGTTAATTGCCCAGACAAGGACAAGTCATTTCATTTCTTCTTCTATATTTTAAGGGCCCACAATCAATTTATTGATCATTTTGGCTCCATTTAAATTACTTGTTTAAAGTAGGCACGTTTCTGTTGTATATATAGTTTCAAAAGCCGACTATATGTCATGGGGATCGAGATAACCAACGTTAAGTGGCAAATTTGGCCACCTTTTGTGCTCAAGATTTCAGGGTTTGGCGATATAAAAGAATCGACATAACAGATGAGAAAATGTTACAGCAACAAGAGAATTTGGTGGTTCCACTTCAAAAATGTCAACATAACAGGTTTGGCGAGTTAACCGAGGTTGAGATAAGTGGGTTCGACTGTATTTAAAACTAAAAAAAATGGCATGATGGATTGTTTCAAATTTAAAAAGTTAAGTCTAAATTAGAGGCAATGAATAAAATATTAATTAAAGCATTTTCCTAGTTAGATAATGTTCACCCACCTGTGAAGGCAGGAAGACATTCACATGCAAAGAGGACAAACCGTCCCATTTCCTTCTCATCCTCCTGTGTTCTACTTTTATCACAAACACCAAAACCAGAACATTCAGGACATATAACAAGGTCAAGGTAGATTATTGAGGAAGAGCCCCCTTTTGAATCAACAGCTTGAACACTGGATATAAAACACATGTTTTATTAAAATAATTATGACTCAATAATAAATTTTTTTATACATTTTAGAGTATCTGCTGTCCTTATTTGGAATGTATGGTTCTAACGCTTGATGCAAATCATATATTGTCAGGTAAAATCATTATTTTTGTATTATTTTTGTTTGAAGCTGAAAAAGATATTTTATTAACAAATAAGGCATTTATTGATAAAACAAGATCTAGATACTATTATTATTTTCATTGATTATTGATGCTTAAACATGTAATATTTAAAGCACTATTTAAACATTGTCCTAATATTTTTTGGTACCATTATGAAATAGATTCCCCATGTTTATGCTAACATAAATATATACCTCATTGTATAAATTATGGCTTTAATCAAATTAAAACTTAGCAATTTGCTAACTTACCCAATGGTCACTGGGAATCTGATGTTTGGCTTGTAGGTCAAGTTTCCAGTGTAAGAATCTATTCTTATGTCACCACTTGGTGTTCCTTTCAGCTTGTATATGATAGTGTCTTCAGCATCACCATCCGTAGCCAGGAATTGTAGCGTTGATGTTTTACCATGAGTAACCTCCCATTGCTTTTGATTGTTTAGCTGGTTTGGAGCCAACTTGAGTGTGGGCAGTTTGTTAACTGAATATAGTGTAATGAAATAAGGGAGCTTGGATAATATTTGCAGCTAATATTGATTGATTGATAAAACACATATACAATTCTTACCATGGTAAAATCACTAGATACAGAAATAATAAGTGTGTTTGATAACAAATTTCTTAAAATTACAAGCAACCCTCTTCCCAAACCAAAAAACAAATTACAACTTTAACTTTTTAATATTCCATGTAAATGTGCAATTTTTCAAATGTGATTCAAAATAATAATTATTTTTTTTATTTTTTTTATTTTGTTTACAGTTTTAGACAAAGTCTCAACATGTAGGCCTATTACCTTGGGTTTTTAAAACCGAGGATGCTTCTTCACTTGCAAGTCTTGAGTTGCTGGCAAACTGAGCATCTCCTGTACTCATATAATCATATATGCAAGCAGAATTGTTTCCACACATCCTACGGATGAAATCACTATCAGTTCCATTGAGTTCATTGTTAAATACAGGCACAAAGTCTGCATACTGATAGTCTAGTGCTGTCAGGCCCTCAGGGTAAGTGAACACTGTGTCGCTGGTAGTTACTTGCCCTTTGGGACAACAAAATTAGAAAAACATTCTTGTATCTGTCTTTTCTTAATCTTTTATTTAGATTTTCTTATTAATGGTTCAAACACTTAGAAAATATCTATTATTTGCATTGAGCTTTGTCTACTTTTAATCTAGTTCCTTTGCAACAAAAAAGTAATGCATTAAATTATATAATATAATTAACTTAATGTAAAGGCCGAACTTAGCAAAACTAAATATACCTAGATAAATTTTAAAAGTTTAGTCTAAATTAGAGGCAATGTATAAAATATTAATGAAAGCATTTGTGCTCAAGCATTTTCTATTAAGATTTTTGTGAAAAATTTTTTTTTTTAATTTTCATTTAGAATGTCCACAATGATTATTTTCTATTGAACGAAATAAGCTTTTAAGTTTGAACAATATGTTTTGTAACTCACATTCTTGGCCAAAGTTTTCAAATATTTTTCTCTCTGTGTCTGTTTTGTTTGGGCTAAGTATAGTGCCATCTGGCAGGATATAATCATCAGCTGGATCACCATTAAAGTTGCCTAAAAGCCCCTTAAGTTGACCTTTCAAGGAAGTGGGCACATCAACAGAGAACTCAAGGTTTTTAAGGCCAACATAAATCCTGATTGAAATTCCTGTCAGTCATATTTGAAGACCAAAAATATGTTTTTAATCATGAGTCCAAATAAATACCATGATATAAAATACTATTTTAATGAACTGCTATACTAAGAAATTTTTTAAAAGTTTGATAATAAGTTTAGAGAAATTTTGACAAAAATCAATATTTGAAAGAAGTTGAATTAAAACTGCAGAAAGTTAATTCAAACGCTTTGCTAAAATTATGATTGTTTGAAGTTTTAGAGATTAATTTTTTCTTAATTGAATGAAGAAGCATTAGGCTTGACTGACCTGAAGGAAATGTGGCAATGACCATTGTCTTGTTATTTTTGTTTTGTCTTTGAATACCAATGTCATTATTGCCAAAGATCTCATTATAATCCTGATTTTTATAGAACTCTTGTGTGACATCTTGACTGTTGGCTAAAATGACCATATCTAGACATACGCAATATTTTATACAATTAGGCTACAAGAAACATACATGAAATATCTCTCAAAATTAGATGACATTCTTATGTACAGGAATATTTCATACTTAATATACTTAAGTCAACATTGGTAACAACATGAATTTATGTTTTAAAAGAGTGAAAGTATAATATAATGGTAAAAAAAAAAAAAACAATGTTGAAAAAATGTAATGCAAATAATGGCAATGAAGATACCTAGCAAATTTAAAAAATGCTGAGACAATTGTTCAAAGCTAGTTATTTCCTCATACATCTTCCATTTTCTTTTCTTCTTATTTATTTAGAAAATATCTACAGATTACAGCATAATATTACTCTATTGTAAAAGACAATCATCATTATTTGATGCTTGCATATAAATTATAATTCAAAGGCAATTTAACACATAAAATATATTTTTTTAAAACTAATGTTTCATCATACCAGTCTCTTGAGCATCCAGCTCTACTTGAAATTTGGAATAATTTCCTTCTTGAGCTGCAAATGCAACAAACACTGTGGCGTTTACTTTAATTCCTTGACTATTGACCACCTGCTTTGTTCTTCCCTGGAGCATAAAGAATGGCACAGAAATTTTAAAGAGGATGTACTCCCCCAGACCATTGAAAGTGTAGCTGAGTCCATCAGCTGTCAAAATGTGTGGATCTCCCAGTGCTCTTCCTGTCAGAGGAAAAACATTTTATTTTTTTAAAATAAAATAATACATTATTTAAAAATTGTAAAACAATTAATGACAAAAAATACCTTTTATTATAAAGTATTTTGTGTTAGATATTATAGAAATATGTTAATTTTTTTTATCATCGAAAATCTTAAGATTAGATAATTTGAAACTAAATTTAACTTGCTGCTGAAAATAAATTCTCAGTTAATACTTTGCTATGTTCATCAATAAATTAGAGTAATAATATTGTTGGAAGAACAAAAGATGGACAGAGAGAGAGGCATTACATTTACCAGAGATAAATTCAGCTTCCAAAGAACAACCATAATCGGGTCGCACTTCATTGAACAAGTTACAGAACTTTGAAGGTGAACTGCTGTCCTGACAACACCATCTGTGGGGATTGAAATCTTCCTCTTTTGATTTCCTTGCATCCCCCCACCACCACCAGGGGTCATTCAGAAGCAGGTGACCAGCATTGGAATCTCTGTGAGGAATGTAGGGTGAGTTCATCCAGGCCTGTTGCCATGACTCCCATGAATAGTCTGAGTCATCTGGATATGTGTATTTGTAGCAACACAGCTGGGATACAGGAATTTATTGAACTGATTTTAGAACATAATATTTTATTTTATTAGGAAATCTATCAATTCAAGTAAACGTTTACTAGCGAGGCTGAACTCTATCAATGCACTCAAAATACTGCAAGCAAAGGAAACACTATCAATTTACTTAAACTTTTATTAGCAAGGCTGAACACTATCAATTTAATTAAACTTTTGCAAACAAAGATGAACACTAGGGGTGCCTATAAATTCAGACTCTTGCCAGTGAGACTGAACTCTATCAAGTACTTAATCACGTACATTGTTACTTTTAGCTATATAAAGTTAATTTATTTGAGTTACAAGGATTAAATATATATTTTTTTTTTTTTTTTTTGTGTTTTTTTTTTGTGTTCTCTTTTTTTTTTTTTTATTATATATATATATATATATATATATATATATATATATATATACCGGTATATATATATCTATACATATTATGTAAATGTAATTTATAATTTACACGTTTACATGTGTATTACGGTATGTAAAATTATTATTAAAGCTTAACATATATTGCTATATGGACAAAATCAATTTGATTCTAATTAATCCATTGATTATGGAGCATAATCGTTTATTACATTGGCAAAACTATCAATTCGATTAAACTCTTGCAAGCAAGGCTGAACACTATCAAGTTCTGAATCACAAACATCCTTACTTTTGGTTATAAAAATATTAGTTTATTTGAGTTACATGGATTATTTAAAAAAAATTAAACATAGATTCATAAATATCAATTATTTACCTTGTTTATATTGATTCCATTTAGTCTGCTCACACGAGACTTAGCCACTGGGCTAATGGCATAACAAATAATGTGTGATCTATCACTATACACGTCTTCAGTCCAAGAAAACCACCACCACTGAGCTCCCAATCGATCCATACTGCATGGACAATCAAATAAGGCACTGACTTGCTCCTGGTGGCTTTTATTATTAATGAGATGCTTGTTCTCCAAGTAAAAGCTGAGACACTGGCTGTCTGGGTTCTTAATCTCACCAACTTTTTCTATCCACGTACCATAGCGTCCTAATCAGATATTAAAATCAAGTTTTTTAGCCTGGTTAAATTTTGTTTATATACTTTTCTTCAAAGTGATCACTTTCCGCAAAAAAAAGTATTGATCCAAAATATTTGAACAATTTAATACAACATTTATTGTAACATTATTTTCCACGATAAAGGTCTGTTATTTTAGTGGAAGTTCAAAAATGTATCAGCTCTTTTGTGAAAACCAAAAATTTAATTAAAAATAAGAGTTCGTTGCAGTCAGATCCTTTGTAAAAGTCCTAATCATGAATAAAAAAAATACAATGCATTTTAGTGCAGGTGCAATTTGGCAAGTGCCAGACACTATCAGTCTGTAGAAGTTGTACTCCTCTACACTACCAATACGAACTGCACGGCCATATACTTGAGCCAGTTTCTTCCGTAAAGTACCTGGGTGTTACCATTCAAAGAGAGGTCCGCTGGGACGAGCATATTAACAATGTATGTAACCAAGCAAACAAGACCCTGGGGTTCTTAAGGCGAAATCTAAAGATTGGCAACTCCTATGTGAAAGAAAGAGCATATAAAGCCTTTGTCCGACCGGTTTTAGATTATGCATCTTCAGTATGGGACCCATTTACCCAGAAGAGCGTTGACAGGTTGGAGGCGGTCCAGCAACGAGCAGCATGCTTTGTCCTAAACCACTACAGGAATACCTCTAGTGTTGGCAGCATGCTGGAAACACTAGGCTGGTCACCACTGGAGGAACGACGACGACAATCCAGGCTCTCCATGATGTACAAGATAAATAATGGGCTGGTCCACTGTTCCAGTATTAAACAGAAACTCGTCCCTCTCCCCCATAGACAGCGACGAGGCCATGACAGGCAATTCAGGCTCATACCAGAAAGAAGCCAGTATAGGAGCTGCTCATTCCTGCCCAAGACAATCAGGGACTGGAACAAGCTTTCAAAAGGAACGGTTGAGGCGACAACACTAGACACATTTGTGTCTATTGCCTCAAGCCTTCAAACCCCTAGTGCATGATTCCCTCACAAAGTGGCACTGGAAATCAGTGAAATTTCCTCATCAACACCAGGAACAGAAACATTGCAAATCCCATCTACATGCATAGGAGCCAAAATGATCAATAAATTGATCGTGTGCCCTTAAGATAAAGAAGAAGAAGAAGTTTTGCATTCTTCACGTATTTGAGCATGAGATATAACAAGAGGCAGCTAGATCAAAATGACATACAAAAATACATGTAGTTATACTAGCTTTTGATACCAATCAAAACATTTCAGTTGCAGTTTTACCAGAACAAACTTTTTTTGGTAAGATTAGATGCTTTAATGTAAGCTTATTCATGTTTTATGAGCCCTGACTACCCAAAATTTTCATTTTTACCCCATAGGTTAAATTTACCCCCGTTTGCCCACCCCTGATTTAGTGGTATGATCCTTATAATTTTTATATACCTGAGTTCCATACAATACTGTCCATTTTAGAGGTAAGATCTGTATAAGACACACCGTAGTCTCTCAGTGTGTCAGATGAAACAAAGCCAACTGCTATTGATCTGTACTCATCATACAACCATTTCATTGCTCCATTCTTGTAGGTGACTGTAGCATAAGCTGTTTGTCCATCAGATATGTAAATAGCCTGGAAGGTGTTGGTCTCTACTGTCTGTGTGAAAGAAATATTTAAAATGTTTATAGTAATATCAAGGCTAAAACCCTTTTTTTTTAAACTCTGTTCTCCAAATTAATTTATTTCATGTATGTGATTATTATAATTTTAAAAAGGCTGCAAAGGGACCCTGGTAAGCATAGCCGCTATTCAGACCCGGGTCCCTTTAAACTAAATCCCATTCGGATGTCATTTGTGGTAGTTTATTTTAGTTAAACTGAAGAAGTAAGTTTATAAACATATAGACCATTCAATTATCTTTCATTTGATACCTCATTTTGTCTTACAAACCCAACAATAATATTTTAAATAGTTTTTTAATCCCAACCTCTCACTTCTGATACTCAGGTGCGAATAGCCACTTCGTTTTAAAAAAGTTCTTTATGATTCGTTTAAATCTTGCGATTTAAAATATTATGACTTCCGTCTAAAATTAAATTTAACCCACAGCCTAGGATATTGGTGCATCACTTGAATTTTAAATTATTTCTTTATACAAACTGATATTTAGTAATTTTTTTTTACAAGCCAAATGACATCGAAAAAGAGCATGGTAAATAAAATTGTGTAACACATTTTGGATAGTATTAGTGGAAAAAGAGAAAGTAAAGCTACCTGGTTTGTTTTGCAGTACTTGTCATAATATTCCTGGTAGTACATTTGCCACCAATCATAATCTTTCCACTGCTCAAAATATTCACACAACCACATGTACCAACTGTAGGGCTCTATGTCAGTCCAGGTAGCAGAAACAACATTCGTTGCTTTATAGCTTTTTAGTTTGAAATGCTCCATAATCTGAATTGAAATCAGAAGATTATTTAGAATAAGACAAAGTGCTATATTTACATTTAAGTTGTATTTGAACTCTAAGCAATTTTATCAAAGTGGTACTCAATGTATTATAATGTACTGAATTAATTTTTACACAATAAGACTATGACCAAACTATTAAGACCTAATTCTTCATCTGTTTTATTTTAATAAGGTTGTTTTAATCTTAAAATAAAACCTATTGCAATCAGAGCCATCGCATGGGCCCTGGAACCCTGTAGCTGCAGGAAGCCTGGGGTGTTCATGTGGCCCAAATGTAAAAAAAATCAAGGGTAGGCCTAAGTATTTTTTAGCTGCATTGAATACCATAAACTGAAAAGGTGGCAGTAGGGCCTAAAAAACTCATGTGTCGGCACTGAATACAGTAAATAAAATAAAAATTTAGTTTTGTATCAAAAAATAAATTTAGTATTTTATTTAATCATGTGAATAAAGTCATTAATGCTAATTCTTCTTTCAACTAGGTAGTTTTCCTTACACCAGTTGGTTAACTATCACAAATATTTATTTCCTAGTAAAAAATATAAAGCACTAGCGAGTACCCGGAATGCGTTGCAATGCCAGTCAAAGAAAGAAAATGGTTGCATGTTAATTATGTTTTTTTCAAGAGCTTTTAAATGCTCAAAGTTTTTCTTGTTTTTCTATCTGGTATATACACGAATAAATCAGGATATTTTCCGACGCGAGAGCAGGCCACATACATCTGTCCATGGGAGAAGCATGGGTTTTCCAAATTTAGTCCGCAAACTTGTAGCGATTGTCCCTGTGCTTTATAGATAATCGTTGTAGACGCGTGTCGCATCGGAAACTGTAGGCGTTTGAATTCAAATGGCATATCTGTTGGAATCATTGGGGTGAATGGCAAAAGTACATCACCTAGTTTAAATTTTCCATTTAAAATAGTAACTTCAATGGAACCAATTTCGGAAGATTCATTTGAAAAAATGTACCGTACCTAATGCTTCGATATCAAAGTGCGTTTCTCGTTGCAAATCAAGAGCGAAAAGTTTGTTTGCAGATCGATTCCGAGAGGTCATTCCCAACTCATGAATCATCAAATATGAATAGTATTTCATGGCACTGACTTTCTTATTCGAATTTCTCAATTTGATGTCAAATGATATCCATCTTCTCCTTGCCAAAATAAAATATGATATTGCAATCAATCGTATTAGTGATGAGTTTCTGAGACTCGCTGAACATCCCCACTTCTGCGATGAAGAATTATATCACGTGAGTTAAATTCTTTACCAACTATAACGATCGCCACTTCATCAATTG